ATCGATCTCTTCCTTCTTGAGGGACTCTTCCAGCGCCTTTATCCGCGCAGCTCGGTCGTCTTCCTCTTCCTCGGCTCTGTTCCGAGCGCGATCGACATAGCCGTCTGCTAGTTTACTGCCTTTCGGGTCGTAGGACTTGAATTTGGATTTCTTGTTGCCTTCGCTTCGCTTATATGGACCTACTGTGCGGCTGGATTCGTCAATAACTTGTGCACATTACATAGGTACCTAGGTAGTTAGTGGTAGGTGGCTTACGGTGCAAAGGGTAGGTTTGGCTTGTGTCTAGACCCTAATGTCGTGCCCCGAGGAGTAAGGCTTGGTGATGCGCCATTGCTGTCTGAAGGCCTCGGGGTGAGAAGCCGGCGAAACTGGTCGTTGTTCATTGCTTTAGTGTAGCGACCTGGTTTGCAAATTTTGCCCTAGAGGGAACAGATGGCACTTTCGACGCCTTCGCCTTTCTCTCTAGAGGATCGAGAGGGTTGTACGCTTATGGATATTTCTGCGATCCAGGTCCGTCGTACAATTTGCAAAGCGCCGAAAGGTGCAAGAGCGCGATGGTAGTGTGGCTAGTAATATGGGGCTTACGGTACCGTGGCGTTCTCTTCTTTTAATTGCATGCATCTGTCACGGGATGACGTGACGTGTACCCGCGTCTCATTTAGAAGCATCATCCTGGCACGCGTTTCTTACTCAACAGCATTCTTTCGATAGGAAATAGGACTGCCCAAGTGTGGTATTCATGGTTCATCAAAGCTGCCCAGGCAGATACCTCTCGGTATAATAAGGAGCTTGGAATACAGACGATTCAGTTGGTTTGATCCATGCGAGATACCGCTACAACTTCATCGCCTCCAAGATGACCTACCGAAAGATCGCCACCGGCAATCGAGTAGCTTACGGGACTGGAGATATTACTTTTTCGGTGCTAAACGTATGATCGCGCCAAAAATGGGGAGTCGACTGGACCATAACTCTAATGCTGTGCGGAAGCGCATAGAAAGCCACACGTTCTCGGACGAGGCGGGCGACGAGTACGAAGGCAGCGCCTTCGGAGGATTCGGAGACTATTTCCGTCGCAAGAAGATCAAATTGCAGAATCTCGACTCTGACTTACGAGCTTCCTCGGAAGAGAAACCTCAGATCTTCAAGGGCGTTGTCGCCCATATTACCGGCTACACTCAGCCTCCGCTTCATGTTCTTCACCGGGACCTAGTTCAACATGGCGCCGGCTTCCTTCAGTATCTGGACTCCAAGACCATGGCCACCCACATAATAGCCTCCAGCCTTACTCCAAAGAAGATGGTCGACTTCAGCAAGTACAGGATAGTGAAACCTGCTTGGGTAACAGACTCCATCAAAGCTGGGAAGCTTCTGCCTTGGTCGGATTACCGAGTGATAGAGGAGACTCCTAGGCAGAAGACCTTGAGATTGAACGGAACCGGTTTATCCACCCAGTCCAACACGCAACAATCACCGCTGGCAGGATATCGAGAACAGACTGAGAACAGCTACTATCTTAGCCAACTGAAGAATGTTGCCCAGTCTATCGACGGGAAGCACATGGGTGATGGGTCACCTAATCAGCCAAAGCCGATTAGAAGAAGCCGGTATGAGTCTAAAGAGCCTATTACGCCGACAAAGTCATTGCCGAGTACTCGAGATGCCTCGTTAAACTCTAGCGGAGACAACGATACGGTTATGCTGGTTGACTACATGCAGCCTCCAGCTGGAGCTCCGGCTGAAGAGTCGGCTTCTGAGGGCCAAGACAGGACAGAACATGATACACAGGCCGAGCCGTTAACAGAACAGCCAAAAGCGACAACTTCCGAGGAACACAACGCCTTGCTACTTCAGGATCCTCGAATGAGAAAGTCATCGACCGCAAATCCAGATTTCATTCAACAGTTCTACTCTGAAAGTAGACTTCACCATCTATCGACGTGGAAAGCAGAATTAAAGTCAAGAATGCAAAAACTTGCCGCCGAGAAGGGTCCCCAGAGAAAACCAACCAAGAGAAAACCAGGTGCGAGGCGGTATATTATGCACGTCGACTTTGACAGCTTCTTCTGTGCCGTTTCGCTGAAAAGCGCCCCCGATTTTGTCGATAAGCCCGCCGTAGTTGCGCATGGTACGGGAACGGGGTCGGAGATTGCAAGTTGCAATTATCCAGCAAGGAAGTATGGCGTCAAGAATGGTATGTGGATGAAGCGAGCTAAAGAGCTGTGTCCCGATATCAAGGTGCTTCCATATGACTTTCCAGCATATGAAGAAGCCAGCAGACTGTTCTACGAGTGCATCCTAGAAGTTGGTGGTGTTGTTCAGAGCGTCAGTATCGACGAAGCTCTGATAGACGCCACCTTGGTTGTCACGTCTGCAGTTGGTTCAGACGGGTCCGGGATCGATGAGGGCAGTATATGGAGGGAGCAGGAAAAGGCGAACCAGATGGCCCAAGCACTGCGAGATCAGATCAAGGAGAAGACAGGATGTGCTGTCTCTGTGGGAATTGGCAATAATATCCTCTTGGCAAAGGTTGCTCTTCGAAGGGCCAAGCCAGCAGGGCAGTATCAGATCAAGCCGGAGGAAGTACTGGGGTTTCTCGGTGATTTGAAAGTCGACGACTTGCCCGGGGTTGCGTATAGCATTGCTGGCAAGCTGGAAGAGATCGGGGTGAAATACGTGAATGATATTCGACAGACCTCCAAGGAGCGCCTCACCAGTACCCTCGGGCCGAAGACAGGCGAGAAGCTATGGGAATACTCGCGCGGAATTGATCGAACTGAAGTTGGCGAACAGCCAATTCGAAAGTCCGTCTCGGCCGAGGTTAACTGGGGAATCCGGTTTATCAGCCAAGAGGAAGCAGAGGAGTTTGTCTTCAACCTGTGCAAAGAGCTAGAGAAGCGTTTGCTGAACGAGGGGGTTAAAGGGAAACAGCTTACGATGAAGATCATGAGACGTTCGTCCGACGCACCGCTCGATCCACCAAAACATTTGGGACACGGCAAATGTGATATCTTCAGCAAGAGTATCATGTTCGGCGTCGCGACTCACGACTACCAGGCGTTGGGGAAAGAGGCTGTCTCGATCCTCCGCTCCTACAAGTTCAGCCCCGGCGACCTTCGCGGCCTGGGTGTGCAGCTGACGAAACTCGAACAACTCAAGACTTCAGTATCCGGCCCTGACAGCAGCCAGAAGAAGCTAAGCTTTGGCGCTTTTCGCGCTGCCGGTTCTGCTAAAAAGTCGAACTCAGACCCGATACAAGATGGCAACGATCTGGGAGGAGCGGACACAATGCCAGCAGCAAGAGGCAAGGCGTCAGACCCGATCACTGAGAGCCCATTGACGCCTCGAAAACCAAAGCCAGACCCCCGACATCTTGCATTCGCTATAGCTCGAGCGAGCGAGACGGATGCTAAAGCGAATACCCCCTTGAACATTGGCGGAACCCAGTTTATCATGCCGTCTAACCCAGATCCCGCCGTACTCGCAGAACTCCCTCCCGATATTCGAAGCAGACTCATGAACCAAGGCAGCAGGACCATTTTGGAAACCCGCGACCAACCTCCAGGCGCAAAGTCGAGAACGCAAAGCCCCGCGCTCGTGGACGAAATCCCCCCGGAGATCGACCCCGAGGTGTTCAACGCCCTACCGGACGACATGAAAGCTGAGGTCTTGGAACAATACAAGCCCCGAAGCAGGCAGCAGAGCGTGCTCCCACAGTCGCCCCGCAAAGACCGCCTTATTCAAGCACCAAAGCAGAGAACTCCCACGAAGCGTCGGGGCGGTGGTCGAATCGCGGGGGCTCGCGAGAGGCAAGCCGATGCCAATGCCAAAATCGTGCAGACCAACTTCCTCTCCTTCAAGCGGCAGCCACAGCAGCAGCAGCATACCAACAACAATGCCGCGGCCGGCTCAGAAGCGTTCGATCTCGAGGAGATCGACCCGGCCTTCCTCGCCGAGCTGCCGGAAGACGTGCGCAAAGAGGTGCTCGCGGACCACTGTCGAAGGCGAGCACAGCGCTCTGGCCTGGACTTGTCGAAGCTCGCCAAGAACGCCGCGCAGGCGGCCGGCAACAGCGGCAGCAGCAGCGGGCAGACGCGGCTGCGGTTCGGGCCGCGGCCGGCCAAGGCGTCCTTCACGACGGACGGGCTGACGAGCGTGTCGGAGATCCGCGACATGCTCAAGGTGTGGCACGGGGAGACGCGGGGCGAGGGCCCGCACGCGCGCGACGTCGACATGCTCGAGCGGTACCTGGTCCGCGTCGTCGCCGACGAGCGCGACATGGACAAGGCGCGCCGCCTCGTGCGCTGGCTCGAGTTCCTCGTCGAGGACAGCTGCGACGACCATGATGGTATCGACGACGACTTCGGGTCCCGCGGAAAAGACGCCTGGCGCGACGTCGTCGGCCAGGTCAAGACCGCGGTGCAGAAGGCCGTGCGGGCGAGGGGGCTGGGGCCGTTGGATATGTGATGGGATGGCTGGTGGGTTAGCCTGCCTGTAGGTTTCTTGTTATATGCCTACCTAGGAACCTAGGAAATACTGGAGGTATAGAGAAGCTTACGAGCATTACAATGAATGCAAATTACATTCCTGAATTAATAAAATTGTCTTATGGTGACTACTATAGTGTAAAGGTGTGAGTTGCCGTAGCCAAAAATTTGGTCTAACTACCCCTGATCAGGCCCTTCTCGGCCATACTATTCAATTCCCATTCTCAAGAAAGAAACAACGAGCTCTAGTCTGCGAGATGGCATACTGTAATACTTCTAGGTAATATGATCTGATCGTGTAGACTGCTATTTATCATCCACGCTGTATTACCTTGCGTATGAATTGGGCAAGGTGGAATCGGATGGGCTCTTGCTTGCTTGTTGTCAACACACCACCAGCTTCATCTGAGTCAAACCGGCCAGGTTAAACATCGCTTCTAGGATTGTAGGCACCCATATATAACCAATTTACATAGATAGGTCACACAGGCCACGATGGAAAGCGTCACGTAGAGCACCTTGGCGCAATGGAAGCGCGCCGGGAGTGAGAACTCCGGAGGTACCCCGATCGAAACGGGGAGGTGCAACTTCAGGCCAAAAGTTTTTTGGTCTTTTTTTCTTCTCATTACTGCTCAAGATTGTTTATAATATAAAGGCCTCGTAGCTACCTAACTTAGGTGCTCCTTTATATCACGAAGCGGTCGAATGTGTAGGGTGGCCAAAGGCACAAGTCATCAGAAAAGGGCACAAGAGGGTATATGAGCTTATGTCATATTTATTCGAGTTGGGGTATTGGCTTTACACGAGGTAGCGCTGCTCTTCATCAAGCATATATATACAGCACGTCTACACCAACCACCTAACCATGACGGTCATCCTTAACAACCCAGCTCCCCACGAGCCTCATAGCCGTCTCGTCGCCGTCCCTGAGGCGCTCGTCCCTCAGCGCGTCGGAGAGGCACCTCCAGGGGTCTCTGCTGCCGCCCCAGCGGAGCATGTTCTCCTTGAGCCTCTCGCCGTTTTCGCGGTCGAGGGCGGCGCCGCGCTGGCCGGCGGCGAAGACGACCTGCCACACGCGCGTGGACAGCACCTGGTCGAATAGGTAGCTGTAGTACGTGCTGCCGTACCCGAACAGGTGGCCGAAGAAGCCCTGCCACCGCGTCCCCCGCGGGTCCGGCGCCAGCCGCCCGAACTGCCTCTGCAGGCCCAGGTACACCTCGGTCGAGTCGAACCTGTCCTGGTTCAGGAGCGACGAGTGGTACTGCTGGTCGAGCATGGCGAGTATGATCTGGTTCTCCCGGTCCGAGGCCTCGAACCGCGTCGAGACGCGGAGCTTGTCGACGACCATCTCGTACGGCAGCGGCTCGTCCGAGGCGTGGTGCCGCGCGAACAGACCGAGTACGGAAGGGTCTGCGCAGAAGTGCTCCATCAGCGTCGACGGTAGTTCTGCGAAGTCGGTCGCGCATCGGGTCCCGGCCACGTTCTGCAGCGAGGTCCGGGCCAGGATGGAGTGGATGGCGTGTCCCATCTCGTGGAAGAGGGTTTCCATCTGATAATAATCTAGGAGTGCTGGTCCGTGCCCTTGGTTCTCTTCGAAATCGCACACTAATGCGATTGTCGGCAGCTGTTTGACGGCGCCGGATTGGTGGGATACATGCATCCCGTCATTTGCGGCGTCGATAGGCGACTCAAATTTAGGCAGCCCTTCAGCTCCGGCTGCGTTTTGCTCTGCTGCTTCCCGAATCTCGCCCTCTGATATCTCTCTGGAGCAGCGAACGGTGAAATGGGCCGGATTCGGGGATTTATCCGCCCGATAGAAAAGATCGCAGTAGAGGACCGCAACGTGCCCATCAGTATCAGATACAACGTCTAGTCGTCTGACGTCCGGGTGCCACGTCTCCCCTGGTAGAGTATCCCGAGGAACAAATCGGATTCCATACAGACGGGTGAATAACCTTGACAAGCCCTGCATGACAGTCCCGAGAGAGAAATAGGCCGATAGGTGATCGTTGCCACGCCGTCGTGATCTCATAGACGAACGTATTCTCTCCATATAGTAATCTTTGTCCCACGGCTGGAGCTCACTTGTCACGCCTGGCGTGTTTTGACCCTTCTCCTTAAGGAGATCTGCGATCTCTTCGTCAACGAGTGGCGCGTTGTGCTTCGCCAGTGCCATGAGGAATTGATGAACGGACTCTGGCGTCTTTGCCATCATCTTGTCATGTAGGGCCATGTGGCCATAGCTTTCGAAGCCCGACAAGTTTGCAAGTTCGGCGCGTGACTTGAGCATAGCTTCCAAGACTTGGATGGACTTGGTGGAGGCAGTACGCATGGCATAGTAGATAGCCTTCCTCGTTTCCTCGTCATGGACTGTTCTCAACGCCAAAGTCGCTTCAGGAGACAGAGTTGGCAGTCGGATGACGCCTCTCCTAGTGTATCTCTGTGCCATCTGTGGATTCATACCATAAAACTTGCTGCTTGGGAACTCGACAAACTTCTGCTCGGGCTGCATGTCTTGGACGAAGTACGATCCTAGTTCACTTATGCCCTGGGACAGATCCACGAACTGATCTCGTGAGCCTTTCGGCAGATGTATTGCTGACTTCATAAAATCTTGCTGTAGTAGCATGGCAACGGTCTGCTCTTCCTCGTTCCAGCTAGTCATTACCTCTGGACTATCTAGGGCTTTCCCTAGCTGATCGCTCAGGCCTGTAGCAGTGTTTAGTTGGTTCATGTACTGATAAACCAACGACCACGCGTGCGAGGCCGCCGCCTGTATTTTTTCGTCGGGATGGGTAACCCGCACGAAATCGGACACGTCTAAGACACGGCATAGTAGATCGCTGAGCCTGTCGAGGTCTCTGACAACCGCCTTATACTCGTCTAATGTTGAAGCATTGAGCACCTTATCGACCAGCCTTTGCGCCCTTTTTATTGTGACATCTGCGAATGTGAGGAATCCTTGTGGCGAGGTGAGGTACTTGTTTCTGAACAAGCCAACATTTTCGCGGCTTCCGGTCTTGAAGAGGGGCTTTGCAAAGTCTTTTAACGCGGGCGAGTCGAATATCTGGCGCAATAGCAAGTCGTCGTGCTTTAGATCGGTAGGGCTGTGGTCGATCGGTCTGTCGAATTGAGCAGGGCTGGGCGCAGAAGAAAGCCAGCGCCTCGGCTGTTCTTTAGCTCGGGAAGCTTGTCGAAGGCATCTTGAGCAGGTCCAGAGACCTGAACGGATATTCTTGATCATGACGCAACAAACATGGCTATGAGCTTTGGAGCGGGAAAAATGCTGTAAACGCACGCAGCTCAATATTTACAAGAGAAGACGAGTATGAAATGCACAATATTCAATTACACATTTTTCCCCAGTGGAAGTTAACGGGAGGTACGGCTGGTACGGGTACTAAGTTGCCCGGTTGCTTACAAAAATTCGCCGAGGGTTTCCCGGTCCGGGATTAGCCGTGAGAAAAAAAGAAAAAAAGGTACCAATCTACATCATCGTTGTTTTTGTTAAAAAAGCTGCCAGCTTTAATCCCAATCATCACCCACCCCAATTGAGCCCAACATGGCTGCGAGAGTGCTGCTGCGACAGGTGAGTTACGCTCTGCATTGATTAACGAAGCTACGACAGTACTAACAATTTGGGTCAACAGCGCGTCGCCGCGCCTTTCATGGCCGCGAGTCTGGTCGGAGGAGCTTTAATTCCCTCGGTGGCCATGGCTGAAGCACCGTCATACGACCACGTACGAAGCACCTAAATTCAACCCTTCCACCCTTCCCACGAGCTGCTTTCCACTGACCACACGCAAACAACAGCCGTCTTCCAAGAAGCCCATATACGACGACGTCGAGACCTTCCTATCCCCCAAAGCCATCACGACGCCGGTCCCGTCGCCGGCCTCCGAGACGATACCACAAACATCACCGCCCTCCGGCCCGTCGGAGCAGGCGCACAAGCCGCACGGGCCGACGCCGACGGACAGGCTGGCGGTGGAGATCGGCAAGGCGCGGCTGTTCCTGCACCGGTACGCGGCGGCGACGGAGGACGCGGTCAACGGGGCGGTGGACTCGGCCTTCCACCTGGAGCAGTCCTTTACGTCGACGGTGGCGTCGCTGGCGCCGCCGCGCGAGAGCGGCGAGACGCTGATGCCGGGGCTCGTGTACGTGCTGGTGGCGTCCATGGCCGGCAGCATCGTCGCGCGCAACCGCAACGTGCTCGTGCGGGCCTCGGTGCCCCTCGCCCTCGGCGTCGGCGCCGGCTGGCTCCTCCTCCCCGTCACCATGACCAACGTCTCCGACCTGCTCTGGCGCTACGAGTCCCGCCTCCCCGCCCTCGCCGACGCCCACCTCCGCACCCGCGACGGCATCCGCGACGCCTGGAGCTTCGCCCGCGTCCACGTCGATGTCGGCCGGTCCTACGTCAACGACAAGGTCGGCGACGCCCGCGACGTCGTCGAGAGCTGGGTCAAGAAGGGCAAATAAACTCACCTAAATGCATAAAGACGAGGGTCGTCTACCTACTTAATGACCCACCCCCAGCCGTTGTACCATAGATGAATAGACAAACCATGATTTCTCCTTTGTCGAAACACCCGGAAGCGACGAAGACTACCAATACGCTCGTCTCGGCATAATTGGTATTGTATGATCTAATAGTCATATCTACTGGTAGCTTATATCTATCATAACTAAAGCTTTCCGCAAACCGAATACCTTGTATTACAGTTTTGGTCTGATTATGACTTGGCTCACACTGCATTTTTTTTTTTTTGAAATTATAGACACAATTAGGGCAACTTTATTCTTATAAGAGCCGCCAGTCAAATTATATGCAGCCCACACAGGGGAATCTTATTTTCTCCTACCAACGCCATGATAAATGAATCCTAGTAATCTATGTGTAGTCCTGTCCCGACCGTCGTAGCATAAGGGTACAAAATGGGTATTTAGACGCTCTCGACATATTAGCCCTCTTTTTCTTCTCCCCCTCCTCCCGCTGTCCTCTTCTTTAGAAAATTCAGAGTCCTCTCGTACGTCCACATAGTAACAGCGCTAGCGGGCGCAGCCTTGAAGAGGCTGACGGTAAGACCCCTGTATAGACCCCTGACGCCCTCGCGAGCGAGGATCGCGCGGACGGTGCGGAGGGTGCCGGCGTACTCGGGGATGTTCTTGTGGACGTAGCGGGCGCGGGTGGGGCCCTGGACCTGGATGCGCTTGCGGACGAGGTCGAGGGGGAAGACGCCGGTCTTGGCGAGGAGGCTGGCGAGGACGCCGGCGGCGGCGTCGCCGGCGTCGGCGGGGAGGTCGAGGCGGGCGAGGGGCGCGCGGGCGCCCTCGTACGCGGCGAAGAAGAGGCCCATGGACGGCACGACCGAGGCCAGCGCGGGCGCGAGCCCGCGGAAGAACCCCCGCAAGCCCTCGTCCCGGCCGATGGCGCGCACCGCCCGCCGCAGCGACGCGTACACGCGGTCGTTGCCCTGCGCGGCGAACCGCGTGCGCAGCAGGTCCAGCGGGTACGAGGACGCGGTGGCGGCGGCGCCCGCGGCGGCGCCCGCGACGAAGGACTCGGCGGCGCGCGGCAGGCGGCGCT